TTGAATGACTTGTTATGTTTAATTAGGAAATAATGTACAATTAAAAGAAAATAACTATAGGGCTTGTTCGTTTTAGCTACACTGGGGCTGCTCTGGGTCTGCTCTACACAGGATAATACAGGACAGATAAATAGTTTGTCCTGTATTATCTTGTTTAGAGCAGACCCAGAGCTGCCCAGTGCAGCTAAAACGAACAAGCCCATAATATGCAACAATAATACCAAATTTTAATGGCGTTTTTCATTGGGATTGCACTCGTGCAGTATTTCCATAAGAGCAATGTTAAAATCTAAAATCTAAATTTATATTAAATCCTTCGTCCTTACAAAAATTTATCCATGCATTTCTTTGATCCGGATTTTTCGGAAACCTGTTTGTGAGTGAAAATTATTTAGTAATTATTGTGAATCTACAATTTCACAATACTATACATATGATTATAATCTCCAAAATAAAAATCTCATTATTGTTGATAATACTAACCGATGAAACGTTATTCCATGATTTCGAGCTGCTGCTGTTATGCCACAAGCTCTACAGTATACCATTTTGATCGTTTATTTCCATACACTGTTGCATAAAAGACTACACACTGCATATTAATGCGTACGGCGTACGGTATGCCGCTTGCCGCAATGCTCGAGCATTCCCTCTCACTTTCAAAAAGTGGTCGCTCAAGATGGCTGCCATGACGTACATCCATCCGCGGATTTACCTAGTCCTGGCTAGTATATGCTCCCTCCTGTTTCTTTTTACTCAATGATTGAAATATATACCATACTGGAACGAGCACGCCTTTGTTCTCGACCGGTCAGATGGAGATAGCTGTTCGGACCCGGATCTCTCTATCTAACCAACAGTTTCGGTCACGTGTTCACAACTATTATTAGTCGAGAATAAACGAGATAGAAGGAGAAATCCGGTACCGAGTCACTGCCTTGTCTGACCGTTTTGTCGAATGGAGGGGGTAGCCTGTGCTCGTTCCAGCAGAGAGAAGACTGAGGCCGGCGTCACATAGAACCCGTAATCCGTAATCCGCACCGGAAGTCCGCAAAAGTTACTAAGGCCGGCGTCACATAGAACCCGTAATCCGTAATCCGCACCGAAAGTCCGCAAAAGTTACTAGGGATTGCGTCCGTAACGTTACGTGTGTTTTTTCTCCTTGTGTCCCATGGAGCCGTAATTCCATGAAATTTCCGTAAAAGTTACTAAAAGTTACTAGTTATTACTAGTAATGCTTTTTTTAATTTTATTTATTTAACTAAATTTGACGATTTAATTAAAATGTTTGTTAAAATTATAATATATTCTGTAGTTTTCTTATGAATAAAATACAAATAAACAATTATAATTTGTTAAATAAAAAATAGTAATACCGTTACGTGTGTATTTACGGCTCCATGGGACACAAGGAGAAAAAACATACGTAACGTTACGGACGCAATCCCTAGTAACTTTTGCGGACTTTCGGTGCGGATTACGGATTACGGGTTC